TTAGTGTGTGTGTTATTTACATGTAAATTTATATGTCCAGCAGCACTTAGGAAAATAGGGGTGAATTCATCTAGTTATGCGGTGGGTATACACTGTCAACTTGTGCTGTCCAGAAAATCCCTAGCAGAGTCACAGACACTGTCTGGGTGTGAGTGGAGGGGCAGGGGCCAACGGTACCAGCACAGACGGAAAGCAGTCCCTGGCCTTCCTAGGCACGGCAAAACTGCCCCCACACTTGGAAGAGCCAGGCCATCTGCAGAGCCTGCAGGATGCACACGCCCCTGAAGAGTAAAGTGCACGAGATGAGTAACACACTACATCTTTCCCTTTGTTTCTCCGCAAAAGGCTATTGGTTGCTAGAAACATGGTGGCTTACATTCAAACTAAACCTTGCCTTTTATAAATGAGTGGAGACAGAACATAAACGGCATCCACTTCACAACACTGTTAAAAGACCAGTCAGTAGTGAGAACTTTGAATGAAAACACATGACTAAGTGTGGGACTTGGCACTGGCAATACTCTTACACAGAACCTCAGCTCACTTCACTCCTAGGAGTCAAAGTAGCTGTGCAACCACAGTATACAGGTCAGTGTGACAGAGACAGGCCAAACTGAGAGGCGATCTTCGTGAGAAGGTCCCGGCCCCAAGTTCCCAGCTCTGCTCACGCACCAGCCTTGTACCTAACAGTGCACGCTTTCTCTTTAGACCAACTCATTCCAAACTTTTACCTTCAGGGCCAAAATCCGTCTTTCCACCTCACATGACATCATCATCATAATTTCCTAGGGACATCCACAAAAACTTGCTATTGTTCCCTGACTTTAAAAATACCGAAACACCGGTGCTTTTATTATTAACCAACATAAACATGAGAAAATTACTCTGGAAACATTTATTCTCTTTAACATTTTTAGCTACCGTAAGTTTGGTATGTTTACAAGTAACTGTAATTTAATGAACTGCTATTTGGTTATAAGTCCTCAATACTGGGGCGAAGCAACACATCTGCACATCAAGAGAGTAGGTGAAAAAAAACAACCGGAAAGTTCTGAAACAAAGAGCAGGTGACAACTAAGACAGAGAACCAGATGCCACTTGTAAACCCTGCTTAGGCAATACGAAATCCCAGAGATAATGAAGCCTACAAACACGACTTTCACTAAAGTATCACTATCAGCTATCAGCCACTTTAGCCTCTATCATGCTAACATTAAACTAGGGGTTACCAAGCTAGGCCTCATTCCCTGGGGCTGGGCTTATACTAGTTGGCAGCCCAGATGCCTCACGTTCTAGAACTCAGTGAATGTGACCTTTCGCCTCTACAGATTTTAAACTACTAACTAGCGTTTGTTCTTAACCCGTCTGTTCACACCTGTATTACACATGCATCCGTCAACATCTCAAGCTTATTGTTATTATTTCTTAGAAAAACTGTGTGCCAACAAGGCTTTGTAGTCACAGGGTTTAACAGGAATGAATGGTCTTTCAGCACAAACCCTAGGGAATGGTGAGCTGTCACTACTAGACACCTATGTGGACCCTTTCCAATCATACCTCCCATGGAGATGTGAGAGGGAATAAATAGGGCATGAGGGAATAAAGCAATCTTAGCTCTACAGTACCAGTCAAATGCGAGGCTGCAAGACCTAATCTCCTAATGGCTAATGACACAGCTTATTTATTTGGTGAAAAAGAAGACTCATCCATAGATTACACTAAATGACATTCAAAGAGAAGAGAAGATCATGCACTTGGAATTTAAAGATCCATAACCACGCCCGACAAGGCTTTCAGGCTTTCAACCCCATGCTCAGAAAAATCAACTGACTCCACTGATCCATTCTTAACTGGGCCTCTGCTAATGTCTTATGGTGACCACTCTAAGAGACAAGGACAAGCAAGCATGGTCAGCCTCTCTGTGCAAGGTAATGCTGAGCCAGCGAGAAGGGAGCTTTGGAAGTGAGACCCACGGAATCTGAGCCAAGGACAGGTGCTAACTGCTTTTCTAACGACAGAGACAGCCACTGCCCGGAAAGAGCAGCTGGTTACTCTTGGGGCAGCGGGACACAGTCTTCTGAAATGAAAGAGAACCCTCAAGTCCCACAGAAGAAGACGACAACCACTCTCCAGGCCACTGTCAAAACCCTGCACTCTAGACCCAGACAGGAGCTGCCTGGGGAGACAAAACACCTAGAAGCTTGGGCTAACACACACAGAGGACAACTATTTCTTACCTACTTTTGTAGACCACACTATTTTAGTCAATCTCAGTCTTGGCCAGTTCAGAACCTTAGCTTGCACAAGCACAAAAAATGCATGTGTAAACGTCTATACAGATCCAAGCCACCTTTCAGGACTCGTACATCCCTGTGAAGGATGAACATTTCGCTAGCCTGAAATGATCATTTATCACTCCCAGACCATTCCAACAACCTACAGACTAAAGACTGGTGTCCTGAACGAAGCCGCCATCGCCGATTCACATACTTATCCAATCACAGTATCTATTAGTGGGAGGCAGTAAGGAAGACAAGCGTTGGGGACGTTGGGGTCAATAAAGTGACTTCACACTGGTAAGAATAAATACGCAGTGGACATACTAAGTCATTCCTTATTTATAAACACTAGTACTCTAACCCTGACCTACTGCTATTTACACACAGACACACGGTTATGAATACTATGAGCCTCAGTATAAGACAATGGAAAGAGGGTAAGGAGACTCTAACCTTCCAAAGTATTAGACTCAACATTAGGTAAGGGAAACTCACATAAATACCTATTCGTCTTTGCTCTAAATACAGGGGTTAGGAAGGCCACTCAGCCAATGTGTCAAAATCTTTGCTAAGTGCCTAGGGGTGAGTCCAACGGAAATACTAACTCCTACAACTGAATACGAACTTGGACAACCCAAGATTTCATTAACCTTTTCAAAGCCTGAAAGGTTATCCCAAATGGAGAATTCCTTAAGAGAAGATGGTCAGGAACCGTTCGTTCAAACACGTGTGGGCAAACTCTAAATCCAGATTTGGAGAACTGATTTCCCATCTTTCCAAAATGTTGGTAACCTTGGACACATCACAGCCTCAACCTCCATTTAAGAAAGGAGTGGGTCCCTGCCTACTTGGCCCCTAGATTATAAACCTCAAAACAGAAATTGAGAGAAAAATTGTACAAGGCACTCTAAGTTCTTCAGAAATACATGCTACTCATACATAACTTCTTCCATCTACAGACTCAGTCCATCAGAAACCCTCCTGACGACAGGAAGATGCCATGTACCCAATGATCCCGAAAGTTAGTGTCGGACTCAAGACCATCATCTGTGAACAACTGATGCATTACAAAAAAAAAAAAAAAAAAAAGTTATAGGATCAAGTCTTGATTCAAAATCTACAAAATGATCTATAAAAGTGATAACCCTCCTTGAGTACAAGGCTTAATAAATATATTATGTGATATTAAAAGTTATTAGCTTAAAGACAGTAGGTACATATGTAGGTTTCTTGTCCCTTGTGGAGGGGAGCAGGCCGGGCTGAAAACACAGGACTGTGCACACCATCCTTGAGAGTTCTCCTCTAAACCCTTCTGTACCATCCTCACTAAGGAGAAGCAGCCCGTAAAAAGACCCACTGCCCACCAATGTTGCAACTGGGTACTAAGCCAAGAGAAGGGTCTGTATGGAGAGCATGTGCTGCCCTCCTCAAACACACTGCTAACCCCACTCTACAGAAACCCCACACTGGCCAGCAGCAAGGGCGAAAGTGTTCTGTGACTGAGGGCCACTTCGTAATGAAGCACACTCACACACTCAAGTGCTGACGGCAACCGCACAGATGGCTGCCTGAGGCAAACCTTCCAGACAGACAGACAGACAGACAGACAGACAGACAGACAGACGCCAGGAGAAAGACTTACAGGACGTGCAGTGGAGTCAGAATTGGATGTTTCCTCTGCACACATGTCAGTGTATCACGAGCCAATCAAGTGCCACAACCCAGCACACAAAAGCAGCACCAACTTCCTGTCAGGGTGCTGAGTATTTTCTTACAACTGGACCCATTTGGGAAGGCATTTGGCTAATTAACAAGGAATGTCACAAAATGACAAAGAAGCAGCTAGAAAACAGGTAGAAAATGATTCATTGTCCTCTTAGCATGAGGGTTATCAAGCATCGCATGGTAACTGTTAATTCTCAAACTATATTTTAGAACAACCTTATTTGATCAATAAGATGTGGGGATCACCAGCAATATTTACCCCCCCTTACAAAATTACAGACAGACTTGGTAGTCAATTCAGCATGGTTCAGCTATAGAAAAAAACATGGGGGGGGGGGAGAGACTGAAACCAAGTCAGCCCCAAACCACTACCATTCCACATAAGTGGTACAAAAATACCTACAGGAAAACATTCTTCCTTTCTTTTGGCAAGCAGAATCCAAAGACCCATGCTAACAAAACCAACCATACAGACAAAACTGTCCTGAAGTAATTACTATACAGCACATTAGACTGTCAGCACACAACTAATCATACAGTCTCCACGAATTCAATTTTGTAATCTTAGCAGGGATTAGAGACAAAAAAAAAAAAAAAAAAAAAACCTTACAAATAAGCAAATCTACTTCAGCGTAAGATCTACTAAGACTTGGCAATGCAGACAAGACACTTTATCATGAGACCATAACACATTATGCTCTAAGTGATCTATGAGACTTATTGGTCTTTCCTCACTTTGGTATGGAAAATTCTAAAACCACAATTTTTTTTTTTTTTTTTTTTTTTTTTGCACAGTTCAGTCTTTTTTGTTTCATTTGAGTTGAAGATTTACTTTCATCCATCTCTGGGAAAACAGTCTTGCAATAGATGATTTTCTGTGAAGTAAAATTGGCTAAAACCTTCAGTCAGCGTAAACAATGCCTGAGAGATGCAACAGTTACATTTTTGTTTCCAAAGACCAGTATTTTAAGTGCCTCGCCATATCCTTAAGTTAGTTCATAAGGAGAAATAAACAAACATGAAAATCCCAAGTGAACACACGGCAAAAAGCCCAATATTTAACACCACCTTCACTTGCCGGGGCTCTTCTAACATCTGTGAGCAGACCGCCTCCTCGTCCATCAAGTCTCTGAGACCCCTCTTGCTGAGGCTTTTACTTTTAAAGCCACAAAACCAGTCTACGAACTTCCAATACCTGCTCCTGTGTTCCGTTCCCTTCTCTCTCTCTCTCTCACCCATGAGAGCTGCTTGCCCATTGGAATAGGCATCTACTGGTGTTTCTGCCTCTGAGTGACCCATGGAAGCTACTGGGTTGCCCTCTTCCCTGCAGGACACCAACAGATTAACATCTTCAGGCTGCAGCCCCTTAATGCTGTCTTCGGATTTCCCATTGGGGATGGCGTGGTTGACAACCTCGCTGCTCTCAGTGCACCCAAGGATGCTCTTCTCTTGCATTCTGTACGGTTCATCTTTCTGAGAGCAGCCCTCCTTTGTTACCAGGGTCTTCTTGGACCAAAAGGTGGTGGCACGGATCTGATCCTTTGTGGGAGGTGGCGTAAGAAGACTAACAATTACGGTAATGAGTCCTGTGACCCAAAACAATGCTGTAGCCACATACATATAATGGATGTCTTTGATAAAGCCTGGCCTGTTATCAGGCTGGTCACACTCGGGGGCACGGTAGGTAAAAGCCAGGATCAGACGGACAGCTCCAAGAACAAAGCCCGCCATTCCACCATAGAAAGCTCCTTGCTCATTGCAGCGCTTCCAGAAAATCGCCAGGAGGAAGAGGGCCGCCACCGGAGGGGTCAGGTAGTCTGCCACCTCCTGGATATAAAGGTACATCTGGCCTCCTTGCATCTCCACAATAATTGGCACCCATGCTATGCTGATGACAACCATAAACGCCACAAACACCCTGCCTACTATCATTAGCTCCCGGGAGCTTGCGCTCTTGCGAATGAGTTTGTATACATCGAGGGTGAATATGGTGCTGGCACTGTTGAAGATGGAGTCCAGGTCACTCATCAGGGCTGCGATCATCACTGCCATCATCAAACCCCGGAGGCCTACCGGAACCAACCTCATCACCAGGCGTGGGTACGCAATATTGGAGCACCCAGCCCTGCTGCCACACACCTGCATGCAGTGCTCGGGGTTGATACAAGCTATGTCGTCAACAAACAGTATCCTGGAAATCATTCCTGGTACAACTATGATAAACATTGGGAGAAGCTTCAAGAAGCCAGCCATTAGAGTAGAGCCTTTGGCATGAGCAATGTTTTTGGCTGCTAGAACCCTCTGCACGATGACTTGGTCAGCACACCAGTACCATACGGAGGCTGGGGTCTGCCCCAGAATGAATCCGGGCCAGGGCACATCTTCATCTGTTGGATCCCGCAGCATCTTTAGGGCATCATCCTTAGGGTGGACGTTACAGGAATTCGTGTTGGAAAGGTTGTGTGTCAACAAAATGGAAGCAACATTGGGTGAAGCCAGCATGTACCTCCTCTTAACTTCCTCAAACCCTCCAACCTCCATCATGCTAATGACCATAAGTGTGAGGGCCCCAATAATCATGAGCAGAGCCTGTAGCGTGTCTGTGTAGATCACTGCGACAAGGCCTCCGGTGACGGTCAGCAGGGCAGTCATGCCAATGAGCAGGATGACAGACACATAGAGGTTCCAACCCAAGGACTCCTGGATAAAGAGGGCGCCTGAATACAGATCCACCGAGAGCTTGGTGAAGATATACAGGAGCAGGGACAAAGCCGCAAAATAGACCTGAATCCTGTGGCCCCCGAACCTCTTGGACAGGTATTCCGGCATAGTGTACACCCCTGACCGGATATAAATGGGGACGAAAACCCATCCCAGAAGTTGCAAGAGCAGTAAGGCATTGAATTCCCATGCGCCCACTGCAAACCCACTTGCTGCTCCAGACCCTGCCAGCCCAATGAAGTGTTCACTCCCAATATTGCTCACAAACAGAGAGGCGCCAATCGCCACCCAGGTCATAGAGCGCCCGGCCAGGAAGTATCCACTCACAGTGCTCCTATTGGATCTCCACATGGCAAAAAAACCAATGCTCATGACCAGGACAAAATACAGGGCCACTATGGCAATGTCTGCTGTCTCCAGTACCGCCCTCATCCTGGTAACTTGAGAATCAAATGTCCGAATGACAGAAGTGTCCGACTTTTATTTACTTATTAGTAACCCAGCCAAGTCTGTAAAGCACGCGTGAACAGGACTACACAGAGCAACGCGGCGGTTGAGTCTTTGTCCTTTGTCTGCTGTCTTGATGGTGGTGGCTGTGGTAAGCTTGGAAGGACACAGTTTTACATTTCCTCCGCTTCTCAATGGGATTGAGAATTTAGCCCGTACTCTCAGTCCACAAGACCATCAGCATTTACTCAGGTGCTGGAGGAGAGACTCTGAGTTGCAGCTAAGTCTAGTGAAGCCTACTGTACCAACCCTGCAAGGCAGCAAAGACAAAAGACAAAGATTGAATTAGAGGGGGATCTCATCCAGCGATGAGGAAACTTTCAATCGAGCAAACATGGCGCAACATTTGTTATAAACAGAAAAACACTTTTGTAGTACAACAGAGCGCACGGAATTGTCACAGAGGGTAGGGATAGCAGCCATTGCTTTGAGCTAAAAACAAAAGAATCCTCAATCATCTCACTTCTCAAGTAGCAATTGTCCACTATGTAACATAATCATTCCTTGTCTTGCTCTTACAGTCTGGACTTGGGACAGGGATCAAGCCTTTAAAGAACCCAAGGGAGAAAGGGAACACTAAATTTTCCTAACAAGGCAAAATACATCTTCAAATCCTTGCAGTGATTGGGGGGAGGGGGGCTAACATTATGGCTAGCCAGGTCCTGGATGCAATAGCAGATACATTTACTAAGTGTTACCATCTACCCACGCAGTTAATCATCCCTACTGTAAATGTATAGTCACAAGGAACCTAGAATTATAAATGGCTCGTGAGAAACAAGATAGCCTACACAAAAATACTACAGCACACAACTTCTCAAACTTCCAACTGCCCTCGGGTGTTGGAAGGGTTTAAAAAGAAAACTTTAGAAGTAACAACTTCTTCCCCTTCCTTCTTCAGGCAATAACCCCCCCCCAAAAAAAAAAAATCTTAGAAGGCAAAAGCATTGTGCTCAAGGTTTGACTTTATATTTTCAGTAATGTAAAATGTCTAATTCTTGTATGAAAAGCAAAGGGAGATTTTCTGGAAGAATGAGTAATTTGATTATTCTGTCTTCCAAGCCCGAACAAAACAGTTCTTAACCGTTAAATCATCTTCAATATACTCATTTGACATTTTTCAGTTCTGACTTAAGATCATTCTGTAAAACACACACTTAAACATGACTAAAATCAAATAATAAACCTGATAGCTCTCCTCTTAGTCAAGAAACAAATCCTCAAACTTCAGTTAATTATAAAAGCAACTGACAGATCAATAAGAATACTGTTATTATTCAAAATAATACGGCCACATGTTAACATCTAAGTGTTTGTGCTTATTACTGAGGAAACCTCAAAATCAATGGTTTTCCATGCTTAAAAAAAAAAAAAAAAATGATGCACTGGGTGGCGGTGACGGTGGTGGTGCACGCCTTTAATCCCAGCACTCGGGAGGTGGAGGCAGACGGATCTCTGTGAGTTCAAGGCCAGCCTGGCCTACAGAGAGAGTCCCAGGACAGCCTCCAAAGCTACACAGAGAAACCCTGTCTCAAAAACCAAAAAATAACAAATGTTGTTTCTGATAAATCTAGGCATTTTCTTTAAAAACAAACAAAAACTGTATACTTAGAGGAGTCATAAATAAAAATAAGGCCACTTTTCTCAAAACTGCTTGAAATAAAACTGTACATGGAAGAACTTGGTCACACTCTCACCAGAAAAAAGGCAGCGAGAGAGAGTCGTTTAAAGACCAGAGCGCCCCCCATCCCCCACCCCCCACCCCCCACCCTCGCAGGTTCCCTAGGGAACGCCAGTTCCGGCCAGTTCCGTCACTCACTCCAGCCCTCCTTAAGTGACAGCACACAATAATTACACTTACATTAAAAGTGCACATGAGAGCACATTAAAATCCCGCCTCCTGAAAACCGCGCCAGTAACAAGATTTTGTCAAAAGCAAATCAAAACAACCAAATACCTTAAGTACAAATTTATGTCATTACTTCATACTTGCCAAATCCTGAAGTTGATCCTATTTGATGACTGCTTTCCCAATCTTCCAAATCTTTCAAGTTTAAACACCCCCCCCAAAAAAACCCTCCAAAATGTGAGTAAGCTCTATAAATGTTTCAATGCAAAGGCCAGTCCTCAGTGTCAGTGGGAAGAGGCCAGTCATGAGGTCCTGCCTGCAGCGGAGACCAGGTTGCCCTTGTCACCGGGTCACCTACAAAGGTTGCTGGTTCCAAGGATCTTCAGACACAACTCTTCTTGGTGGAAGCTTAGCCTATTTCCGAAGGGCTGAGGAAACATCGGAGCCTTGTCTAGAGGGCAGAGGAGGGGGGGGAGGGGGATGGGGGTCGGTTTCTGACCTCTGCTGATGTGGTAGCTTATGTGTTGACAGACAAAGTAGCCATGTCCTGTTTCTGTCACTAGAAATCAGTGTTTCTCTGTCAAGTGTGACTACAGCATCAGCTTCCTGAGCAGGTGCTCACCTGGCTCAGATTCCCACACAAGGCCTGAGTCCTTACTTCCTTATGCGGGTCTTCATTGCAAATAGCAGACTGGCCAAACTGGAGCTCAGAGCTGTCCAAGGCTGCGCATGGTGACACATTCCTGTGATCCCAGCACTCAGGACTGAGGTAAAGGGCTGTTCCAGGCCCAGGCTAGCCTCGGCTACTGTGAGACTGTCTCAAGAACCAGGAAGTGTCTGACTGTCTTCCTTCGGTCTCAGAGGCCTCACACGGGGGCCTGTCCTGGTCTGGTGGTATGTTTTTAGAGTTTTCTAACTTAAAATACAAAATAGAGAACTCATAAGGGAAAGTAATGAAAGCATGGTGAATGCTACACTTCAAATGTCAGTCGTGATCACCACAGCCTGGGGCCTCTCAGGAAGAGACCTGTTTCACATTGCTTGAAGATGGGGGGTCGGGGAGGGGGTAAATAGGTCACACCTGAGTTTTGTCTAGTTTCCTGTTTAAATGAACATTTCTTCAGCAGTAGCACCACCAGCACAACAACAGGCCCAGAGTTCCTTTATTTTAGAAAGAATACACATGGAAACGCCTCCAGCTAAGGTGCAGCTTCTCACACCGCTCTACATTCATGAGCCCTCTTGCACAATTAACAATTCAGGTGTTTCCTTGATACAATATTTTTTGGAAAATAAAAACAAGAATATTTGGAGCCAGAAGAAACAATTCTAAGTGAGGTAACTCAGACACAGGAAGGCAAACATAGTATGTACTCACTCGTAAGTGGATATTAGCTGTAAAGCAAAGGAAAACCAGGCTACAATCCACAGCTCCAGAGAACTACGTAACAAGGGGGACCCTCAAAGAGACATACGTGGACCCCGGAGAAGGGGAAAGGGACAGATCTCCTGAGTAAATAGGGAGCATGGGGGAGGGGCAGTAGGAGAGTAGGGAGGGGAAAGGGGAGGCGAACATGAGGGATCAGCTGAGTTAAGGGAGGGCCAGAGAGGAAGAGTCAGGAAAGTGATACCTTGACAGACGGAGCCATGGAGGAGTTAATGAGAAACTTAGCTCTAGGGAAATCCCACATAGATGACCCCAGCTGAGATCCTAAGCAATAGTGGAGAGGGCTCTTTAACTGCCCTTCCCCTATAATGATGAGACTAATGGCTACCTAAATGCAACCATAGAGCCTTCACCCAGTAGCTGATGGAAGCAGATGCAGAGATCCACAGCCAAGCACTGAGCCAAACTCCTGGAGCCCAGCTGCAGAGAGGGAAGAGTGATGAGCAAAGGGGTCAAGACCATGCTGGGGAAACCCACAGGAAGAGCTGGCCCAAGCAAAAGGGAGCTCGCTGACTCTGGCCTGACAGCTGGGGAACCTGAGCCGGGTGACAGTTGCAGGGCCTGAGCAGTCTATGGGGCCATCGGCATGGGAACCCGCATTATTCCCTAGTTCATCAACTGGCTTTTTGGAGCCCACTCCCTGTGAGGGATGCCTTGCTCAGCCTAGATACAGGGCCCAAATGAAGTGACAGACCCTCGCCGTCTCTGAGGAGGGGATGGCAGGGTGGGGTGGGAAGACAGGAGGGAGAGGGAGCTGGGATCGGTATGTAAAATAAGATTGTTTTTAAAAGTTTTTAAAAAGAATATTGGGAGTGTACAGAAACGGCCCCCCAGTAGTAATAAGCTGATTAGGCTAATTTCAAACAGGAAGGTGTTCTGAAATAGGACTCACTCTACTAAAATCACAGGTAATGTGTTACCTTTTGTTTCGCACTAAATTAGAATGCAGATTTGATGGCCATGTGTTGCATGAATTAACCAAAGAGAGAAGATAAATGCACATGGCACTATGTCTGACCCACCAGAAAGAGAAGATCGAGTGATACACCCAACTGAAACCAACTCTCAACCCTTTCAAAAACAGAACTAGTTAAACACAAAATCTCAGTTCTACAGTCAACCAGGAAATGATTCTGCACCAACCTATAAAAACCAGGATGTACTTATCTAAAAAGAAAAGCTGCATGCCATAAACACCAAACAGGGAACCAGGAAAATTACCATCGAGCTCAGTGGGAGCTCGTGCCACAACTTCAACACAAAGGTGGGCTAACAAAGCAAGGGTCAGCAGTTCTCAGACTGAGCCAGGATCTTTCCGTCAAACGACCCTTTCACAGGGGTCATGCATCAGACATTCTGCACACCAGATATTTACACTGAGGCTCATAACAGCAGCAAAATCACAGTTATGAAGTAGCGACAAAAGTAATCTTATGGTTGGGGGTCATCACAACAGGAGGAACTCTGTTGAAGGTCACAGCGTCTGGAAGGTTGAGAACCCCTGGCATAGATTACATTGACCCCCAAAAGTGCCCAACTGCACTGTCCTTAGCTTTGGGCTAAGGGATATAATGCAGGGGACCCCAGGACTGTCAGTGGGAGGCCTGGCAAGTAAAACCTGTATTTTTCACACAAGGGGAAAATGCTCCGTTACCGCGTAGTAATTCAAGGGTCATAAAAGAACTCAGAAGGTCTCATGTAACCACCTCATTGTCACATAAGCACAGCCAAAGCTTCCTTTGTCTCCGTCACAAAGCAACAGGCAACACAAGTTAACACCAGATTGCACGAATCTGGAAAGGACTGGGTACAGGTGACCAGGACAGAGGTGAAGGTACATAGAGGACAGAAGCAAACACTGTCACTTCCTCCCTGCAACACTATGTCCCCGTGAACTTCAACTGCGGTGCCCAGCTCCCAGGGGCAGGACACACGGAGAAATCCCTAACTGCCC